CTGAGGAAGTACAGATATACAGGGCAAGAGCATTCCAGGGAAAGGGCAGAGCACATACAAAGGTCCTGAGGCAGCACTGTGCTGGGGAAAGTCAAGGAAGCCAGTGTGCACAGATGGGGTGAGTGAGGGGAAGTGGGTGGGAGTGGGTTCGAGAGGGACCAGGGAACTTGTGGTTGTGCTGAGGACTTTGGCTTTTATTCTGAGTGAGGCAGGAGGGATTTGAAGCAGGGGACTGATGTCCTTGTGCCTGTCCAGGATTCTGCTGCCGCGAGGGAACTTTCTGTTGGCAGCAGGGATGGGGGGGGGGCAGGGATGGAAACCGCAAGGAGGTGCCTGCAGTAGCCCAGGCAGCTGGAGTAGCTGCGGGGGCTGGACTTTGGACACATTTTGAAGGTCAAGTCAACAGGATTTCCTGCTGAATGAGATGTGGGGGGAGAGGCTGAGGGGAGTGTGAATCTCCTCCAGGATCGCTGCTGGGGCAGCTGGAAGGACAGTGGTTTTTCTGCAGCTCCAGGAAGTAGGTGCCCAGGAAATGCCACTCCTGTGCTGTCAGTTAAAGTGGATGTCGTGGGCCCCGTTTGGGATTGCACCACGGGGAGCAAAGGCCAGGCTGCCTCTGATTAACTTCCACAAGGCTCAGGCAGGTGGCGGGGCTGCGAGCCAACTGTCTTCCACCCAACTGTCTTCCACCTCCTGCTCTCTCCAGGCTGCGTCTGCCTCTCCCTCCCCTGGGGCCAGACCAAAGTAATCTCTCCCATCTCCACCTGGAATTCACTTTCACCCAGGTTACAGAGGCTCCCGCAGCATCCTGCCGGGTCTCTGTCACCCAGGTCTCTGATAACTACTAAGAGGCGACGTCTCAGCTCATTTCTGCAGGGTCCAGGTGGACATCAGTGTCTTGGGGATGTGACTTGGAGGTAGAGTGCTTGCTTGCCTGGCGTGCATGTGCCTTGGGCTCCTTCCCAGGACTGCAGGGGGAAAAAGAAGCCCGTCTCCTGTCCCACGTGTGTGCGCCTTCTGCAGTCTTTCCCCATCTCCCAGGCTTCTGGGAGGGTTTAACCCCCTGGATTTTGTTTTTTTGTTTTGGAACGGGAAATTAAACCCATGGGCACTTAACCACTGAGCCACATCCCTATCCCAATTTTGTATTTTATTTAGAGACAGGGTCTCACTGAGTTGCTTAGCACCCCGCCATAGCGGAGGCTGGCTTTGAACTTGCAATCCTCCTGCCTCAGCCTCCAGAGCCCTGGGATCACAGGTGTGCACCACCTCGCCCGGCTTTCTTTGTTTCTTAAAGTGGTGCTTTTGATGGCTGGCTGTTTTACTTCCAAGGCAGAACTGATCAGGCTTTTCTTTCATGCTGTTGTGTTTGTGTGTGCGCGTACACAGGTGTGTGTGCGTGTCCTAACAAATGTTTCTCTACAATACAGCCATAATAAGGAATAAGAAATTTTGTGTGTGCTTCCCTCATGCTTCCCCAGTGACATGAAAGGTGGCCTCTATCACTATCAGCTCTGCATAGAGGGCTGGGTGTAGCTCAGTAGTAGAGCATTTGCTTATCATGCACAGACCCTAGGTTTGACCCCAGGACCACACAGAGACACACTCACACTGAGTCTCCACAGCTGGGTGAGTCTGTTTTGGAGCTTTGTACCTTTTGCTTCTTTTCTTTCTTCTTCTTTTTTTCTTTTTCCTGGTACTGGGAGTTGAACCCAAGGGTGCTCTACCACTGAGCCACCTCCCAGTCCTTTTTCCCTCTATCTTGAGACAAGGTAATCACTAAGTTACCCAGGCTGGCCTAGGGCTCGTGATCCTCTTGCCTCGGCTCCCGGGTAGCTGGGCTGACAGGTGTTGCCACTGCGACCTCTGCTTCATTTCATTTTGTGGCCAAGTAATGCTCCACTGTCTGGAAACAGCGTGGTTGATCCACAGATCGGGGCACGACCACCAGGCTGCCTTCACCTTTTGGCACTGAGGACAATGCCAAGGATGTGCGTGCACCGACTTGTGCAGACAGACGTCTGATTCTCTTGGGTGAACAAGCAGGAGTGTGACTTCGGAGTCAGGGGAAGCGTAGTCGATCTTTATAAGAAAGTGCCAGAGGCTGCACCTTTGGGAGGTTCCCATCGGCAATCTCATCAGCAATGCCTGAGAGCTCGCTGGCTCTGCCCCTTGCCAGGGTGCCGTGGGCCAGCACTAGGTATTTCTGTGATTAACCATTTGAATGGGTTTGCAGTGACCTCAAGATTTTTTTTTTTTTTTGTGGTACTGGGATTGAACCCAGGGCCTAACATGTACTAGGCAAGTGCTCTCCAGCTGAGCCACATCCCCAGCCCTTGTAAATTTTAGTCTGAGGGGCTGGGGTTGTGGCTCAGTGGTAGAGCATTTACTTGGCACGTGTGAGGCACTGGGTTCGATCCTCAGCACCACACAAAATAAAATAAATAAAATAAAGACAGTGTGTCCATCTACAACTAAGATTTTTTTTTTTTTTTTTTTTTTTTTTTACTTTGAGATGGAGTGTCACTAATTGTTGAAGCTGGCCTCAAACTTGCAATCCTCCTGCCTCAGACTCCCAAAGTCCCTGGGATTACGGGTATGTGCCACTGTGCCCAGCTCCATCTCAACAGTGTTAGACATGTGAATATTCTCTCCTTTTCCTTTTTTTTTTTTGGGGGTTGGTACTGAGGATTGAACCCCAGCATGCTTAGTCACTGAGCACACCCCCAGCCCTTTTTTAGATTTTAGAGAAGGGTCTCACTGAGTTGCTTCCTCCTGCCTCGGCCTCCTCCAGAGCCACTGGAATCACAGGCGTGTGCCCTTGTGCCCAGCTGTTCTCTCCTCAATGTACTCTTTTTCCACCAGATTCCAGGATACTGTACTCACTAGCTGTCTGTCCTTCCTTCCTTTCTTTCCTGAAGGCCAATCCAGGCCTCAAACCCAAGGCCTCAAACATGCTGAGCACATGTTCCCCCAGTGAGCTGCACCCCCAGCCCCACGCTGGCTGTTCCTTTTTTGCTTCATTTTCCAGTCTTTTCTCTAAACTCTGATAGCCAGAGAACCGACAGCTGTCTTCAAATGGCTTCTCTCTCCGCCCCTGTTCCCGCGGTGACTTCAGTGGACCCCGGGATGTCGATCTGATCCCTCAGTGTCCTGGTGACTTCTGGGTCTGTTTCCCAGGAGGCTTCCCTCCCAGCTCCAGGGCCACATCTTCATGGGACTCACAGAAGCTCAAACTGGAAAGGGCGGGGGTGCAGCTCAGAGGTCAGGCGCTTGCCCAGCACCTTCAAAACCCTGGGTCCAGGCCCAGTGCTAAGACACACACACACACACAAAACTGGACAGATCACTTCCACCAGCTTCTCACTTCTGCCAAGGAAGATTTCAGACTGTGAGACACTCAGGTGCAAAACTGAGGGGGAGCTCTAATCCTCCTCTCCCTTAGACCCAACTGGTACAAAATCTCACAGCTTCCACCTTGAATGTGCCACAGCCAGGCACATGGTGCATGCCCACAATCCTATTTATGAGGGAGACTGAGGCAGGAGGATCATAGGTTCAAGGCTGCCCTCAGCCATCTAGTGAGGCCCTAAGCACCTTAGCAAGACCCTGTCTCAAAATAAAACACAACAAGGGCCAGGGATGGGCTGGGGCTATAGCTCAGTTGGTAGGGTGCTTGCCTCACATGCACAAGGCCCTGGGTTCAATCCCCAGCACCACACTCACACACTCACACACTGCCCAGTGTAAAGCAAAAGGAATTCTCCGGATTTTTCCCTGCGCATATCAACAATTATGGTGTTTACTGTCCACTCCCGGAGATTCCTCTGGTGTCTCTGATGGTGCCTTGCATACAGCAGGAATTAAATTAATGTCTATGGAAGGAGTGTGTGCTTACTAACCCCTGGCCCAACTGTAAACTCTCCCATAGGTGAGTTTATGAACTCCTTAAACCCAAGGGTGAGATAAAAAACCATCTCCAATTCACTTTCCAGATGAAGAAACTGAGGCGAGAGAAGCTAAGTGACCCACCTAAAGGCCACACAGCTGCAGAGTGGTACTGCTGGGAGCCCTGTCCTCTGCAGTGGGACATTCGAGGAGAGCAGACGCGCCCAGGGCTGTCCTCGCCTTGCCCCGCGGCTCCATCACAGGTGCTGCCAGCCTCCCTCACACTCCGCTCCGAGGCCACGCAGGGCGCCCCACAACCCCAGAGGGCACTGGAAACGTGCAGGTTGTTTTCTGTTGTCACACTGGCCAGAGGGCCACTTTGGGCAGGTGGGTGGAAGCCAGACCTGGGGCCATTTCACAGTGAAGGACTGTCCTGGCTCAAATGCCAACAGGGCTGCTGCTGAGAAACGCAAAGTCCTAAGCGGAGTGTGTGCATCTCCGGCAACCCCAGGGCCTCGGTGAACCAGCGTCTGGGAACCAGACTCCGCAGCTCCACCCCGCTCAGCTGTGATGAGCTACGTGAACGTGGCCAAGGATTTTAACTTTTCAGGGCTCAGTGGTCTCACCTGAAAAATGGGGACAAGAGTCGCTTCTTCTTGTGTTTTTTTTGTTTGTGTTTTTGGTAACGGGGATTGAACTCAGGGGCACTCGGCCACATCCCCAACCCTGTTTTGTATTTTATTTACAGTTGCTTAGGGCCTCGCTGTTGCTGAGGCTGGCTTTGAACTTGCAATCCTCCTGCCTCAGCCTCCCCAGCTGCTGGGATTACAGGTGGGCACCACTGCGCCCTGCAGCTGTTTCCTCTGAATCCTGTGAGGATGAGGAAGGCGAGTGGATCAGTGCCCAGATGCTTGGTGCACTCAGGGGCCTCGGAGTCTCACTGTCTAAACCCATCCCGCCCGTGTCTTGGGAACCCTTTGTTGGTGGCCGCAGAGCTGATGCGCTTTGACCCCCACCTCCTTCAGCACAGTAGGGGTGCTTGCTGACTGACTCATTGATGGATGGAGGGCAGGTGTCCTGAGGGTACCTGGGATAAGGCAGGGGCTCGAGGATGCGAGGCCAGGCAGGACCACGGGTTTATTGGGGGCTCCACACGCACACTCATGGCGTCACACGACAACAGCAAGGTTACTCGGGACACTGAAGGTGGCCTCCGCCCACAGCCGGGCCCAGAGGCAGCGGGGTGCAGTCTCCTCCCTTGTGGCCCAGACCCAGCTGGGTCCCTTCCTCCAGGGCGGCTGAGGGAGGGGGCTGCGGGTGGCCGCAGGCCTGGGGGGGCGAGCGGGTGAGTCCGAGGTGGTGGCAGGTGGCCTCACTCCAGGGACTGCAGCATCAGCAGCTGCTTCAGCACCTTCGTCTGGCTGGTCTCGCGGATTTCGCCGGCCAGGAACATCTCGTCCACGACCGTGTAGACCTGTGTGAAGGAGGGCCCGGGGCAGAGGAAGTGGGCATCAGGGGCCCTGGTGGCTGAGGGCTCCAGGCCACACACGCCCCTCCCCGCCTGTGCCAGGAGCTTACCTTGTAGAAGTTGAACACCAGGTCCAGTTCACAGACATTGTGGAAGTACTCGTTCAAGACCTGGGCGAGAAGAAAGGTGGTAACTGACGGGCAGGGAGGGGGACACGCAGAGACAGGAGAAAAGGCATCAGAAAGAGACAGAAAAGCCAGGCACAGTGGCACACGCCTGTCATCCCAGCCACTGGGAGGCTGAGGCAGGAGGATCGCAAGTCAAGGCCAGTCTCAACAACTTAGCCAGACCCTGCTCAATACATAAAGAAGAACTGGGGACGTAGGTAAAGCAACTGGGTTCAATCCCCAGGATCAGAAAAATAAAAATAAATGGCACAAAAGCAAGAGAGACACTGAGGAAAAGGGAGGGAGAAAGATACAAAAATTCAGGGAGGGAGATAGAGACGGGGATGTTAAGGTAGAGACTGAGGATGAGGAAGAGTGACAAGAACAAGAATCCCGGGTGATTACAGAAAAAGGTGGCAGAAGGGCTAGCCTGAGGCACAGGAAGAAAGAGACAGAGCTGGATGGTGGGAAAGGCAGAGGGCGGTGGGAAAGGCAGAGGGCGACAGACGCGGTGGGCGGAGCAGGTGCGTGCGGGAGGCAGAGTCGAGAAGCAGCAGAGGTGGGCAGGGGAGGACCAGCCCGGCCCCTAGGCCCCGCTCCACTCACCTCCACGAAGTTGTGGATGGCCTCCAGATAGGCCAGGTTGTTGTCATTGACGTCCACACAGATGCAGAAGTACAGGCCAGCGTAGCGTCGGTAGATGATCTTAAAGTTCCGGAACTGTGGACAGAGGGGCTGTCAGCAATGGGGCAGGCCTAGGACCATGAGCCGCCACTCTGTGGTCTCTGAGGCCCAGCTCTGTGCCTGGCCTATGCTGGGGGCTCAGCGGTGAGAGGGATACCCCAGCTCTGCCCTCCCAGGGCTCACGGTCCGGGGAGGGAGACTCACACCCTGGCAGCAGGTCAGGCAGCCCCAGTGGGGACCTAACCCCTTATAGAGCCTGGGAGCCAGCGAGGCTTCCTGAAGGAGGGCATCAAATTTGAGACCTGCGGGATGGGCAGAGGCACTGCAGGCAGAGGGGGCCCAGGGCTGAGAGGGAGCCTGGACTGTCCAGTGGAATCCACCCAGCCTCAGCCTCACCGCCGTCACCTCTGGAGGTCGAAGTCCATAGATGGATTAATTCCATCAGTCATTCTACAAATAATTCCTGGGCCTACTGTGTGCCAGGCTTACGGTGGGCAGTGCAGAGGTCACCATGGTAACCAGGACAACCTGGGCCCTGTGCTCACTGAACTGAGCCCATATGCTTGGGACCACAAGGGTTTCAGACTTCAGAGTTGTTCAGATTTTGGAATATTTGCACAGACTTTACTGGTTCGATATACCTCATCTGAAAGCCCCAAATGCTCCAAACTCTGAAAAGTGGGGTCAGCACCCAAAAAGTTTCAGATTTGAGCCCGGTGGGGTAGCACATGGCTTCAGTGCCAGCCCCTCGGGAGGCTGAGGCAGGAGTACGGCTTGTGCCCAGGAGTCCAAGTCCACCCGGGGCAGCAGGAAGACAGCAGGACTGTGAGACAGTAAGACTCTCTCAAAGAAAAAAAACGTTTTTTTTTCACATTTTGGATTTTTGGATAAGGGATGCTCAATTGAAATATGTAAACTTGAGAATAATAACACAATAAACACATCCACACCACCCGTGAATACCTGCTGGACCAGGGAAGGAGACTAATTTTACATGCACAGGTAAAGAGATTGACAGGCTGGGCTGGAGCTGGGGCTGGTGGTAGTGAGTGCCTAGCATGGGCCTGCATTTCATCCCCAGCACGCGCGCGCGCGCACACACACACACACACACAAAAAAAAAAAAAAAAAAAAAGGCAGGGGGACACTAACAAATTGACATTTAGATATGGACACACCCTCTGGGGTACTAAATAGGGATTAGCTAAAATCTGAAGTTCCAGCTCTCTAGGATGTGTGTGTGGCGCCCTCTGGTGGCCACTGTAGGTGCCAATATTAGCCCCTAAGGTTTTCACTTTGGCTCACCCTTTGTTAATTTCTATGAGCTGACTCTGTTTTGCGTGATCGCAGTGTTGCCACACATAACCCAGGGACGCCCAGGGACACATTATCCGGCACCGATCAGCACTCCGCTACTGTCCGCGCTCTCCCCCTCCTGGCCCCGGGCCCACGGCTGCTCTGCCTGCTCTTCCCAGGGCTACCCCACACCCTCACTCTCTTCCCCAGGAACCTCTTTCTGAAGGCGGGGGCAGGAGTCCCCTCTGAACAATGTTGGCACTACCCACACCCACCCTGCCCTGCTCCGGGTCTTCTCTGTCTAGGGTGGGTCTGTCCCCAGATGGCACTGTGAGCCTATGCGGGAAGCTGAGCATGTCGCTCTGTGTCCCCACCCAGGGCTGACACCACCGCACTGATGCTACAGCAAACTGAATGATGGCCGCTGAAGACACTCATCTCCTGACCCCTGGAGCCTGTGACTGTGTGGCCCTGCGTGGTGAGAGGGACTTGGCAGATGTGATTAAGAAGTTTGAGGGCTGGGCTGGGGCTCAGTGGCAGAGCGCTTGCCTAGCAGGTGGGGCCCTGGGTTCGATTCTCATCACCACATTAAAAAAATAACTAAGCTAAATAAAGGCACACTGTCCATCTACAATGGCAAAAAGGTGGGGGGGCCTGGGGATGTGGCTCAGTGGTTGAGTGTCCCTGGGTTCACTCCCCGGTACCAAAACAAAAAAGAAAGAAATGGGGAGATGGTCCTGAACTATTTGGATGGGACGATGTCATTGCAGGGGTCCTTACATAGGAAATGGGGGGGGCAGTGAGAGCCAGAGAGACGGAAGCTGCCAGAACCCTGGGCTGGCGGGCTGGCAGGCGGCTGCTGGCGCTAGAAAAGCCAAGGAAATGGATTCCCCTCTTGGCCCCAGAGGTTCACGCTACTGTGTTTGAGGCGATTTGTGACCGTGGCCAGGGAAGCTGCCTGGGTCTCCCGTTTCCCCTCCCTGTTTCTCCCTCCCAGATCCCAGGCCTGGTGGCTGCTATATCATAAGGGACGCTTCATGTGACATTCATTCTGCCTGATACTCCTGTGTGTCAGCATTGGACCAATGAACGACCTCTGTCCCCACTGCGCCCCTTCCTCCAGAAAGCCCTGCCTCCTCCAGCTGGCCAGGCACCCCAGCCAGGTCCCCCCAGCCAGCCCTGCCCACTCGGACGGCCACCGCCTGGAGACAGGCCTGAGACCCAGGAAGCAGCACAAGGCTGTCAGTTACTGCTGCGAAGGTGGCGGGCGCTGGCCAGCCCCAGGTGGGACACAGCAGTGCTGCGAGTGAGGACTGCACGGTGAGCCTGGGTCCAGGGGACACAAGACCTGCGGCCGGGCCATCTCACTCCCCGCTGACCTACTGCTGCCCCGTCTCCCCAGGCCCCATGGACCCACTTCCGGACCCGCACGTGTGTATCAAGCCAGCGCTCAGGGCAGGCCGGGCACTGTACTGGCACCCCTGGCACCCCCAGCTCCCCTTTCCTCCTGTCACCTAGGATCCCAATGGCCAGCTCTGGGCGAGGCCACCCGTGACTTTGGCTGGCCACCCTCAGAGGCCAGTCCCACCCTCCTCCTGCACACTCTTCCGCCCCCGGCTGCCAGGCTCCAGAACACAGCGGCTTTCCTCCGCCTTCCGCCTCCAGCAGTGGCCCCGTGCCCCCTTGTTCTCTCTTCTCACGGCCACTCCGAGTCCTTGGCTTGGTTCCCCACATTTCCCAGGGCGCCGCTGCTCCGTGACCTGCACCTTTCCCTCCCCCACGGCCTCCCTGGGGCCAGGGGCAGACACCTTGGACTGACCTTCCCAACACCTCCACCTGCTCAGCCAGACTCAGCACATCTCAGAAAACGGCAGGCCACCTGCCTGGGGCTCAGGCCCAGACCCCAGCCCTCAGCCTGGTCTCTCCCCTGCACTGCACGCCCATGCCTGGCCACCCCATCACTTCCATGGTGGCTCTGTCACCAGTACATGTCCCTGGACCACTGCGGTCACCCCCGGAGCAGGCCCCTGCTTCTGCTCTTGCTCCCTACAGCGGATCCCAGAGGCCTAAGGCGGATCCATGTCCCTCCTGGGCTCAAAATGCTCCTGTGCTCCATTTTTCTGAGTCTCCCAGGAGGCCCCTGAGGCCCAGCACCTGGGCTACCTTTATCCTCATCGGCTCTGCCCTCCTCCCTGCCGGGCCCTGGAACACCCTCCATGTATTCCTGCCTCAGGGCCTTAGTACTTGCTGTTCCCTCAGCCTGGAATGTTCCTCTCTCAGATAGCCATCTTCTTCCACTGCCTGGACTTTTTCGACTCCTTCGGGTCTTGGATCTAATGTCACCTTTCACTATGCTTTCCAGAAAAAAACACAGAGAACTGCAGTCTCCCCTCCAGTGTCACCTAGCACTCTGCCCTCAAGTCAGCTGCTAATTGTTCCTACTGCCATTCACGGTCACCTGACCACCATAGCCAAGACCGGCTCCCACCAACCCGCACAGGGTTCTCCAAGGTAGAGATGGGTATTTGCGACAGTCTCTGTGGGACCCTAGGACCAAGAACAGTGCCTGGCACACAGCAGGCCTGTGGTAAATGTCTGTTGGATTCTTCAGGACAATGGGTCCCACCTCTTTTTCTGTGCAGTGCTGGGAGTGACTCCAGGGCCTCTTCACACTAGGCAAGTGTCCACCACTAAGCTACAGGCCAGCCCCAGGCTGCTGTCTTGAGCAGGTGAAGGTCATGGGAATAAAAGGTGAAGACTTTTTACAACAGACCAAAAGCCAGGTGTAGTGGCACATGCCTGTAATCTCAGTGACTTGGGAGGCAGAGGCAGGAGGATTGTAAGTTTGAAGTCAGCCTCAGCAACTTAGCAAGGCCCGAAACAACTTAGCAAGACTTTGTCTCAAAATAAAAAATAAAAAGGCTCAGCACAGTGATGCACACCTGTAATCCCAGAGGCTCAGGAGGCTAAAATAGGAGAATTTCGAGTTCAAAGCCAGCCTCAGCAATGATGAGGCGCTAAGCAACTTGGGGAGACCCTGTCTCTAAATAAAATACAAAATAGGGCTGGGGATGAGGTTCAATGGGAGAGCACTCCTGGGTTTAATCTTCCATACCACATTAAAAAAAAAAAAAAGAAAAGAAAAAGGCAGTATTACCAATTTGATTTGGTCGGGTCTCATAACAGTATTGTGATGATGTAGGGAAATGTTTTTATTTTCTAAGCTACATCCCAAAAATATTTGGAGAAGTATGATGACATCTGTAATTTAATATAAAACACTACAGCAAACGACACTCTTTATCCTATCCTCTCTATTTCCGTGTGAATGAACATTTCTATAGTGAGTTTTACAAAGGGAAATGAAGGGCTGAAGGGTAGCTTAGTGGCCGAGCACTTGCCTAGCATGCCTGAGACGCTGGGTTCCAGTCTTAGCAGCAGCAAAGAACAGAAACTAACCTCTTTGACAATAAAGTAAATAAGTAAGGTAAAAGGAAAGACAAAAATGTAAATGCTGATAAGATCTAGGAGTAGGTTTATGGATCTTCAATCTACTCCTCTCTTTCACTCTGGTAATCTCCATCTTTGTAATTTTGAAAGGTACCAAAGCCCAGTGTGGTAGCACATGCCTGTAATCCCAGTGGCTCAGGAGTCTGAGGCAGGAGGTTCACAAGTTGGAGGCCAGCCTCAGCAACTGAGAGAGGCCCTAAGCAACTCAGCAAGACCCTGTCTCTAAATAAAGTATAAAAAAGGGCTGGGGATGTGGCTCAGTGGTTCAGCGACCCTGGGATCAATTCTTGGTACCCAAAAAACAAAAAATACAGAAAGAAAGAAAAAAGAGAAAAAATACCAAATACAGGAAGGAAGGTAAAGTCAGCTGAGGGAAGACAGGAGAAGGTGGGTCAGTCAAAGGGTATTCGAGCTAGAAGTTGGGCAGGAGGCCAGAGGAGGTCATAAGGAAGCAGGGGGTGTGGGAGGCACGGAGGGGCATCTGTCACCTCCACAAAGTTGGTGTGTTTGGCGTCTCGGACGGTGACCACGGCGTGCACCTCCTCAATCAGCTTCTGCTTCTCATCGTCATCAAACTGCATGTACCACTTGGCCAGGCGCGTCTTGCCTGCGCGGTTCTGGATGAGGATGAATCGGATCTGGGGGCAGCGGGAGAAAGAGGAGGAAGTGAGAGAGGCAGGGAGGTGGCCTAGGCTAGAGGCCACTGCCCCACAGCCCCACCTGTCCCTGCAGGGAGATAGGGTGCAGGGCCCCAGCTGCTCCCTAGAGCCCACACAGGCCTCGCTGTCCCTGCGCTCTGTCCCAGGTCCCTCCAGCCCGCCTTCCAGCAGTGGCCAACTCTGAGCCAGCCCCAGGGCCCCGAGTCCCAGGCTCCATGGCTTCTTGTCTGCCTCTCACAGTCTATTTCCCTGCCGGCAAAACAAGTGCCAAGAAGAGGGTGTTTCATCAGGTTTCTGGAGGTTTCATAAGCTTATAAACCTAGTTTGGAGGCTGGTAAGCAGGAGGCCCTCAATGAAGGCTTGCATCTCAATTCTTCAGCCTGAGGCCTGGCTTTCCACTTTTTTTTTTTTTTTTTCCTTTTCTTTTTTTAACATTTTTTAGTTGCAGATGGACATAATATCTTTATTTTATATATTTATTTTTACGTGGTGCTGAGGATCGAACTCAGGGCCTCACACGTGCTAGGCGAGTGTTCTACCACTGAGCCATGACCCCATCCCCCACTTCTTTTTCTTTTGGATGACTTTTTAAAATTGTGATGTGAATTATTATTCACATATCATGAAATTCATCCTCTTTTTGGGGGAGTGGGGCAGGATACTGGGCATTGAACTCAGGAGCACTTAACCACTGAGCTACATCCCCAGCCCTCTTTTTTTTTTAATATTTTTTTAGTTGTAGATGGACACAATACCTTTATTTTGTTTTTATGTGGTGCTGAGGATCGAACCCAGTGCCTTCCACATGCAAGGTGAGCGCTCTACCACTGAGTTACAACCCGAGCCCACCAGCCGTCTTTTATATTTTATTTAGAGACAGAGGTTAGGGCCTCACTAAGTTGCTGAGTCTGGATTTGAACTTGCAATCCTCCTGACTTGGCCTCCTGAGCCGCTGGGATTACAGGCACGGCCACCACGCCCAGCAAATTCCCTCTCTTGTACAGTAGACACTTCAGTGGTTTTTAGGATATTCTCTTAGAATAGTCACAGTTGCACAAATATCACCACTAATTCCAGAATATTCTTACCATCCCCAAAAAACCTCCTACTCATTAGCCTCCACTCTTCCTCCCCTCAGCCCCTGGCAACCAGTCTACCTCTTCCCCTGTGGATTTGCCTATTCTAGACATTTCACAGTAGTAGGATCACTTAGATGTGGCCTTTTTAACTGGCTTCCTTCACTTAGAGTCATGTCTTCATGTCTGTCCAGGTCGTAGCATGCACCAGTGCTCTGTTTCCCTCCCTCCCTCCCTTCTGCAGTGCTGAGGATAGTGCCCAGGCCCTTGCACATGCAGGCAAGTGCTCTCCACTGAGCTACAAGTCCAGTCCTGCAAAGTCACTTCTGAAGTGGCTTAACTGCTCAGTGCCTCGGTTAATGTGATCAGTAAACAATACACGAGAAGCACCAGAGCAGCGTCTCGAGTTCCGTGCTCCATGTTAGCTGTCATGGGTTCTAGGAAGTTTGCTATTAAGATTCTGAAAAGACAGGTGAATCATCTCGGGCTGCTGTGAAAACCACAGTTAAAGTCAGAAGGGCTCAGCCTTTACATGCTGAGCTCACACACACACATACACATGCACACACACACACACACACACAAATTAGTTATCATTATGACTGAAGTATTCGATCAAGAGTTCAGGCTTTGGAGCTGGGGCTCAGCGGTAGCACACTTGCCTGGCACGTATAAGGCACTGGCTTCGATTCTCAGCACTACATATAAATAAATAAAGCTTTATCAACAACTAAAAAAATAAAAAGAGTTCAGGCTTTAATGCCTGGCACTATCAATTACTGGCTGTGTGTCCATGGCAGATCAGTTAACCTCTCTGACCCTCAGCTTCCCTTTCTGTATAATGAACTTAATGAGAGTACCTCCTCCAAAGACCAACACATGGGTAAACATAAAGGTAAAACATAAAGGTAAACATAGAGTAGAGCGCATAACATATACTAAGTGTCATATAAACACTATGGCTTAGTAGCATTATACTGTGCTGTTATTTGACTTTGAGAAAACCCTGACCCAAACTCACCTATCTAGGAAGGCTGGCTTTGGACCAAGTTCTGTCTGAGATTGGCATGCTCTTGCCCATTTTTCAGATGAGAAAACAGGTTCAGAGAAAGTAAGTCTCACAGCCAGAAAGCCGATCTGGAGTTCAAAGACCTTGCTCTGAACCTCCTTATCCCAACTTGTAGGAGCCCCTAACCCTTCCTAGGCCTTCACACACTCTACCCCACCTCCAGCCCACCAGGCTGGACAGGAAGAGGATATTACACTCTCCTTCCAAGAACTCCTTCTGCTGAGCCAGGGAAACCCACTTCCTAATAGGGCCGGGGTCCAGTGCAGGAAAGGAAGTGACATGCTTGGGCATAGCAGGAGCCACAGCCTGGGGCAAAGCCAGGGACAGAAGGGTCACATGGGAAGGGGAGCTAGAAGCAAGCCTAGAATTGAGAGCTCTGCCTCTTATTCCCAAGTCCCCGAATACTTCCTGTTTCACCTTCCAGTGAGATTCTCTCCACGTCCAGGAATCCACCCCACGAGGGCCATTCCCTCCAGGACCCTCATCCATCCTCATCTGTTGTTGTCCTCTCTGATGCCTCCCAACCTTCCCCTGTCTCCAGTCCCTGTCCCCTGGATTGTTCCCTCTTGACCTCCAGTTTTTCACTTTCAGTCCCCTCTCTCAAGTCTCAGTGAGTCTTTCATTGGAGATAGCCCTTCTCCAACTCCAGAGCCTCATCCCTTGTTCCAAAGGCACATCTTGTTTCCAAGACCCTGTCTTTGGAAAACTCACCCACTGTCCTGACATTCTCCTCCATCCAATCTCCCTTCCTGACTCCCTGACCAAAGAAACCTGAATTCCCAAGCCCCAACCTGTGGGACAGAAGTACCCGCTAAATCCAGTGCTCAGTCCTTGCCCCAAGAGCCGCCTCTTCCAAGCCTCCTCCTTACCCCAAGACCTCTGCAGCCCTCCCCATTCGTTTCTAGCATCCACTCCCTACCTCCACCCCCTCCCTTCGCAGCACACTTTCCTGACTCCCTACAGGTGCCCACTTCCGGCCTCCAGTGCCCACTCTCTTCCCCTTGAGCTTCTCTCTCCTCAGAGTGTCCTGCTCCTGTTCCAACCTCCGGAGACCCCGCCTGCCCCACCGTCGGGCAGGTGTCCCTCCCGGTCCGGAGTCTCCAGTCCTCCGTCAACGCCTCCTCCCCACTCCCGAGACCGTGCCTCGCCAGCTGCCTCTCCAGTTTCAAAAGCGCCCAACAACTTTCAGTGTCTCCCGTATGCGCAAGTCTGCTCTCTGGACACCCCTTCCTCAATGTCCCTTGCCTGGAGACCCCATCGCACACCCGAGCGCGAACCAAGGCCCTGTTCCCTCCTTCCCAGCCCCAGAGCCCACGTCGGATCCAGACCATCCGCGGCAGGGTGGCACTTGTCAGCGCCGATCCAAGCCTCGGCTGTGTGCACGTGGACCCTCCCTCCGTCCGCCCCCGGCGAGGCGCGCCCCCGTTACCATGGCGACCCCTGTCCGGACCCCAGCGGCCCTGGTCCCGCGGCAACTGGGGGGCTACGGCTCTAGCTGCAGTTACGGGGCCCACAGCTGGAGCGGACTTCCGGCAGAAAGAACCCGCCTGCCCTCTCGCGCACAGCCCGCTGGGAGTTGTAGTTTCACGAATGACCTGGCTCCTCCGGGCGGCTAACCACGGGAAGAGGCTCGGGCCCGCTTCCCAGCATGCTCAGCGACTGCCCCTTTCCTACCAAAGAATCCGGACTCCAAATGCATGCCGGGAGTTGTGGACGAAGGTGTCTTTGAAGGACTACAATTCCCGAGATGCTTGACAGCCAGCAAAGGGAGTTCAGGGAAATGTAGTTCTGGTCGCCTCCTTCCCAAACCCTCACCCAGGGGAAGTCAGCGGGTTGGGAAGAGGAGACCGCCTGGGTGACCTAGACGTGTAACTGTCTTTTCATGCTCACCCACTGCGCTGTTTCAAATACAGTGAGCCTGGGGGTGTAGCCCTGCAGCGGAGCCTGTGTTTAGCATGCGGGAGGCACTGGGTTCGTCCCCACACTGAAAAAATAAAATGCAACCAACGTTGTTTCCTTGTGGGAGACAGGTAAGCACAATTTCCCTGACTCTAAAGCTTGAATTTGACAGGTGTGGGGCCCGAATTCAATACCCAATACCGGGGGAGGGGGGGTGGCTGATTTTGAAAGTCAGAATTGTGCAAACCTGGTCATTGCTTGTCTAGGCTGTGTGACTTTGGACCAGTGATTTCACCTCTTAACTTCTTCATCTGCCAAATAAGAAAGATCAGGGAGTCAACTCAGTAGGGTGGTTTTAAAGTATTAAGTTTTCAAAGTTCTTAGCACAGTACTCTGCACATAGTAAATGCTCAATAAATATCAGTTCACTTTTTTGGGGGGGCAGTACAGGGGATTGAACGGAAGGATGGTCTAACTGAGCTACATTCCAAGCCATTTTTTAAATTTTGATACAGGGTCTCTCTAAGTTGTTGAGGCTGACTTGTAATTCTCCTGCCTCAGCCTCTTTAATCGCTGAGATTACAGGTATGTACCATCCTGTCTGACTTAGTTCACATCACAAATGCCCATTGTTAATATTTCCTGTCCAGAGGTCCACTTGTCTTCTCTCAGTTACTCTAATATGCCAACTGCATTCCCCTCAGGGACTTTCCATGGCCTTACTAGTCCCTTGAAGACCTTCCCCACCTCCATTCCATGTTTGGCCTCTTCTTCTTTTAGCTTAAACACCACCTGTGCAGATCTACAGAGACATCCTAGATACAAAATCCCCATAATTCCCTAGAAGTTAATTAGGGCATTTTTATAGCCTTTATTCCAACTTTTAATGGTTTCCTGGGGGGGGGGGTTGTGGAGATCCTCCATTAGGTGGTGTGTCTTTGGGGGCAGGCACTTTATCTGTAAACTGTGCTTCATCATCTAGAACAGGGGCACATAGTAAGCACTCAGTAAAGGCATGCCTATGGGTACTGACGGGAGATTTGCCCTGACAACAACAGAGCATATTACAGAACCTGTCAATTAGACGTGTGCTCCCGACAGAAGAACCAGTACAAAACTACTGAATGTTGGCCCGGCATGGTGGTGCGTGGGTGGCAGGAGGATCGTGAGTTCAAAGCCAGCCTCAGCAAAGGTGAGGCACTAAGCAACTCAGTGAGACCCTGTCTCTAAATAAAATATAAAATAGGGCTGGGGTGTGGCTCAGTAGTCAAGTGTCCTTGAGTTCAATCCTCAGTACATTCCCCCCCACAAAAAATCCCTATTGAATATTGCAAGGGTAAAAAGAGGCCAGAGATGGATTACTCTCCTGTACACGTCTCCTTCTCCAACAAGGTTGGAGTAGGATGAGCAAGATGCCCAAGGAGCAAAGCTGAAAAAGACACTTATTCAGATGCCAACCCAGCCCTGGCATGAGCCTGAGCCTGAGTGCCTCCTTTCATTTTATGCTCTGGGGACCTTGTTTGTGTCACCTTAGTCCTGACTCTGATCTCCAGTGCTCAGCACAGCACTTGGCACAAGTGTTCAATCTACATGTTAGATGATAAATGAACCAGCAGCAAGAAAACGGGCCCTGTCCCTGTCCTGGAAACATTCGCCACCCACCAGGGAAAATGGACATAAATGACATTACACAAAAAAGTTAAAAGATTATTTTAATGAAGCCAGGTGCAGTGGCATAGGCCTGTAATCCCAACAGCTTGGGAGGCTGGAGCAGGAGGATCTTGAGTTCAAAGCCAGCCTCAGCAATTTAGTGAGGCGCTAAGCAACTCAGTGAGGTCCTGTCTTTAAATAAAATACAAAATAGGGCTGGGAATGGGGCTCAGTGGTCGAGTGCCCCGAGGTTCAATCCCCAGTACAAAAAAAAAAAATCATTTTAACAAGTCCTGTGATTTAAAAGTTGTAGGATACTTTAATGCTGAATTAGTGATTTTTAAAAAATATTTTTTAGTTGTCAATGGACCTTTATTTTTATTTATTTATATGCGGTGCTGAGGATTGAACCCAGTGCCTCACAATACTAGGCAAGCGCTCTACCACTGAGCCACCACCCCAGCCCCTGAATTAGTGATCTTCTACTTTCTAATGAACCATCCCCAAACTTAGCAGCTTAAAATAATAATCATAAATCTCATAGTTTCTGTGGGTCAGTAATGGGGAACAGCATCGCAGGGCGGTTTTCGGCTTGAAGTCTCTGGCAGGATTGCAGTTAGTAGAAGGCTTGAAGGGGCTGTCAGAGCAGTGTCCCCGCTGCTCCCGTGGGGCCACATTGATGCTGACTGTTGGAGGACATCTCAGTTCCTTACTCTCAGGAAACCCAGGTTTGGAGGCTCATCCCATGGAAAAACCCACACCCTAGAGAGGAGCATTGGGGAGAAGGAGAGGCTATTTGGTGGCCAAAGAATGGAGCTGTGCTCCCACATCAGCTCAACTCACAGATGCAGACAGGAATAATGAGGGAGAGAGAGTCTATAAAGGGGAGGAGTATTCGCGTCTTGTCTGCGATCTCCTGGGAACTCAGGTGCCACCACTCCTCACTCCTTCCATGGTTTGGTGTTTCCGGTCATGGCGGCTGGTAGGTGTCTTCAGCCTGAAGGGGGGGGGGGGGGAATGAGGCGAGTCTCCAAGGTTATTATAGTTTCGGACAAAACATTTCTCAAATGTTCAACAGGTCTCTCTGCAGAGCTGAGTAGACTCTGGCCCAAACGTCAAGGCGACAAAGGAGATCAACACAAAATGAAGACAGAGATGTCAAGCCTTCATCTTGACCTCAACAGACATCAGCAGGCCCCAGCGAGGAGTCAGTGTTTTCAGAAAAAGTGACCTCCAGGTCCCTGAAGAGTAACCTAGACAACCATTAGCGTCATGACCCCCAAGTCAGAGGTGTGATCTTGGGCCAAGCCAGTGGCAGACTGATGGTGGATTGCCCATGTGACCTCCAAAAGTAGTGATTTTTTAAAGTAAATTAATGCAGGTGAAATGAGACAGTTTATTTAGGCTTTTCCTCAATAACAGGACCTCGGTTGGCCTCCCCACAGGACACAGGAGTGTCCTCATGTAGCACTGCTTTCCGGGCAGGGGTCGGGGGGAGTGATCAAGAGAGGGCAAGGGGGAAACTGCAGTGTCCTCTATGACCTTGCCTCAGATGTCATGCCCTATCCTTTCTGAAGTACAGATCAGCCCTGTCGGATGCCAAAGGAAACAGGAGTACCCGTGAGAATCACTGGGGTCCATCTTAGAAACTGGCTTTCATCATTATCTAGAGCAGGGCTGCCTGTTTTAATGAAGAGTTAGGGACAGCTAGCAATGAATTCTGTCCTTCCTCTCTTCCTCTGTCTTTCCCAAGGCTGGGGATTGACTGAGGGCCTTGTGCTCCATAGGCAAGTCATCTATCACTGAGCCACACCCCAGCTCCTAACTTTTCTTCTCTCCAACTTTTGGGGGGGCAGGGGTGGGATGAGGACTAGGGATTAAACCTACGGGTACTTTACTACTGAGCTAAGGCCTCAGACTTTCTAAATTTTTTATTTTGAGACAGGGTCTCACTAAGTTGCTGAGGGTTGAGTTAAATTGAACTTGCAGTCCTCCTGTGTAGCTGGGATTACAGATGTGTGCCACGGTACCCGGTTTGCTTTCTCAAACTTTCTAATTAGAAAATGATCATATCTACTTGAAAATGTAATAGTAGTACAGAGAACTCCAATATATCATTCACCTCGATGTACCAATTGTTGACATTTGATACATTTACTCTCTGCATGTATTTACTTGAATTTTTTTTTCTTTGGTTCCTTGCAGACAGCATGCTAACACTTCCTCCCAAAATCTAAATATTTATCACTCCTAAGAAAGGACTTTCTCCTCCATAACCACAATGCAATTATCACACTTAGAAAACTTAATATTAATACTATACTATTGTTTAATATACAGTTCATATAAAAATATCTTTGATATGGAGAATGAGATTGATCAGATTATATTATGTACATGTACGAATATGACATAATGAATCATACTATTATGTATGATTATAATCCACCAATTAAAAAATATATTTCTGGGTGTAGTGGCAACACACCTGTAATCCCAGCAGCTCAGGAGGCTGAGGCAGGAAGATCACAACTTCAAAGCCAGTCTGGGCAATATAGTGAGATCTTATCTCAAGATAAAAAATAAAAGGGTTGGGGATGTAATTCTGTGTCAAAGTACCTCTGGGTTCATTTCCCAGTACCGGGGGGAAAAGTATCTCAGTCATATTCCATATATATATATATATATATATTCTGCACCAGAAACCCATCCAGGATCACAGATTGCATTTAGATGTAGTGTTCCACCAGGTGGAATCCCAGGGACTCTCGTGGCTGAGGCAGGAGGATCACAATTTCAAGGACAGCCTCTGCAATTTAGGGAGACCATGTCTCAAAATAAAAAGTAAGCCGGGCATGGTGATGCATGCCTGTAATCCCAGTAGCTCTGAAGGCTAAGGCAGGAGGATCACCAGTTCAAACCAGTCTCGGCAATTTATCAAGGCGCTAAGCAGCTCAGTGAGACCTTGTGTCTAAATAAAATATCAAAAAGGGCTGGGGATGTG